TGTGTAGTTGAGGATCAGTCCTTATCACCACCATGATAAGCATATTACCTACAAGGGTTATTAGATAAATAGATAAGAATATCAGGAAGAGGAATACTTGGGCTGTTGAGTCATCCGAAAGTCCCAAAAGAATAAATTCGTCTACAGAAGTCTGGTTTTTCATTATATATTTTTTTCTTAGCAGACTTATGTTTGGGGAAAAAATGTGACAAATATCAAAAGTTGAATTATGGGGAACAGTGCTAACCAAATCAACTACACTCTAGCTGTAACAGACCAAGACATGTGAATAAAGGTGCATGTACTTTCAACGTTTATAGAGCTATTTACAATTATTTGAAGAGCTTTGGTCTGAACAGCAGCATGATGTAAAGCTCCACAAATTACTTGTCACAGTTTATGTCATCTTAGTCTGATGTTATTTTTTGGTATTAAAATAAATTTAGAAGCAAATTATACAAGGACATGAAATCCAGGCAGGATGACCCCATAACCACTACTGGCTTGGATTCAAATGACATATTAATGGATAGCTGTCCATTCTATCAATGAAACAAAACTTTTGTGTGTCACCCCCCGAATATGATGTAACTGTTTTTTTTAAAAAAAAATCAGCAAAACCACATACAAGAAAAACCTCATCTTGAGGATCCTCTCTTTCTGAAATTCACCCAAGTATGACATCTCAATGGAATTAGATCCAGATGGTCAGCCATGTTGGTCTGAAGAAGTAGAACAAATTTAGAGTCCAGTGGCACCTTTAAGCCCAACAAAGGTTTATTCAGGATATGATCTTTTGTGTGCAAGTCACACATATTTGAAAAAGTGTGCCTTGCATACGAAAGCTCATACTCTAAATAAACCTTTGTTGGTCATAAAGGTGCCACTGGACTCTAAATATGTATCTCATATGTATCTAAATATGTAGGTGAAAAACATGGAATAAATGTACAAATATATTGGTTATACACAGTATTGACGACACAAAATAACAAAATCACTTATAATGGAGAATCTCACCCTCTTGGACTCTCTTCATACTTATACATAGCTATCAGGCAAACATTCCCCTTACCTATGTGAACCAAGTCTCTGCCTTCCTCTTTGGTATCAGCATAGCTGTTGCGTTGTTCACAATATAGAGGAAAGTTTCCTTGTTTTTCAACAATGGGATTCTTCCTGAGAATGAATAGTCCTGCAGCAGAGCTTTGAGCTCTGACTCTCACATGCTCGTGTCCACAGTCACACAAGATGTGTGCTTGCCATGCTACATTCATAGTGAGAGCACTGAGGCAATAAGGAGTCTTCAGAAACCACGTTTTTAAAATGAGCTTGATCAAAAAAGAAACATTATGTAATCTCTGTAAATACCCCTGAGGGATTATGTAAGTATACCTGAGGGTTATTTAGTGGAACAAATAAAAAGCCTAGTATTTGGGGAGCATCTTAATGAATTTGAGATGTCATACATGGGTGATATAGTGCATAGGATTTCCCCTCAGCAGCCTGCTTGCCCCACTGTTTCAAAGGGGACAACATAGCTACTGTGATGATATGACATATTCTGTTGCTATTTTTTCTTCCTCTGTCTCAGAGCACCTGAAGGACATGATGTAACTATGTGATGTTAATTAATGCAGAAGACCCTGATGCTTGGAAAGATTGAAGGTCAAAGAAGACGGGGACGGCAAAGGATGAGATGGTTAGACAGTGTCATCGATGCAACGAACATGAAGTTGAGCCAACTTCAGAGGACGGCAGAAGACCGGAAGGCCTGGAGAGAGCTCGTCCATGGGGTCGCGAAGAGTCGGACTCGACTGTGCGACTGAACAACAACAACATGATGGGAAAACTGGAGTATTCATTAAGAGTTATCATGGGAAGGGTCTGAAAAGTAGCCTTCACATTTTGAATCTTCTTTCCTTAACTTTGGTGGCAGAAAATGCCACCAGGTTGCAGCTGATTTATGGTAACCCTGTAGGGTTTTCAAGGCAAGGGACCAATAGGGATGGTTTGCCACTGCCTGCTTCCAGTAGCAGCCCTGAACTTCCTTAATGGTCATCTATCCAAATACATATCAGGTCTGACCCTATTAAACCTCTGAGATCTGAGGAGGCCAGTCTGGGCCATCCAGGTTAGAGCTCCTTAACCTTAAGGGGGTACTAATTCTCACCACATGGATTATGACTATTTAGTGAGAACATCCACACACACCTTGTTTTCACTACTGGCATCTTTTGGGATGGGCACAGGGCTTCAGAACATGGATCATCCCAATCCACATGGCCAGGGCTCGTTTTGTAGAAAAAGCCCAGCAGTGACTCATTAGCATAATAGGCCACACCCAACAGCAGGAACTCATTAGCATATTGGGCCACACCCCTGACAGCACAGCTCATTGGCACATTAGGCCGCACCCACATGTTACCAGAAGTGTGGTTATCCAGCCACACCCACCTTTTGCTTGTTATTCTGTTTACCTTGTTTGTTGTCAAAACCCAGGGCCTTTTTTTGTAGCAGGAACTCCTTTGCATGTTAGGCCGCACACCCCTAATGAAGCCAATCCTAATGGAATTCTGCTATTGGGTGTGGCCTATTATGCTAATGAGTTCCTGCTGGGCGTGGCCAACTTGGGAGCCAGCCGGAACTCCGTTCCTGTGCACCATTCCTGCCCAAAAATAGCTCTGCGACATGTCTAGTTGCCATGGGAGGTCTGTTTTCAACAGAAATCTTCCTTAGGGATATTGTCAAATTTTTGACCCCTATGACTTTCACTCGCAAAATCCCCTTTTTTGCTCAATGAATTCTTTTAGTTGGAATTAAAATGTGTCCTTTATAAAAACTCAGATTAGATCACAAACATGCAGAAACAATAGATTCTCTCTGAACAGGTTTTCCATTGGGGAAAAAAGGAGATAGGCCCCCTTTCGACCCCTGGAAAGGGAATTCTGGGGATTTTGGGATGCACAACAGAAGCAGTCTGCAGGAGGATGTGGTCTGCAGTGATGAGGGATATCCAGTCTGCAGTGAGGAGGAAAATCAGCTGCTATTGAAGAGGAAAGCTGACCCAAAAAACATCTGTCCTACACAGAATTACGTATCTGGAAGACCATTTTGATCAATGGAGACTTGACTGTGCCTAATGGTGCATTATAGGTCATTGACCTTTACATTTTGAAGGTTGGGATTCAGCCAGCTTTTCTGTAGATGAAAAGGGGGGAAAGACTCCCCTATCTCCACCACTAAATGTTATGCTGGGTATCATAGGATCTGCATGACAAAAATTACGAAGGGCAAGATCTGTAGTCAATTGTTCTGTCTTTTAACATTTAGTATTGTAATCTAAAGGATGATCTCTCCCCATATGTCCCATTCACCAGCTATAGTTTTCAGGTTGCCATCTACTGGTTGTTTCTTTTAAAGTAGCCCGACTTCCATCAACTACAGTTTGTGTTTTTTTTTCTACAGGCTGTTTAACCTATGGAGTGGGATCCCTGAGAAGGCTGCCATCTTTAGAAGTCTTCATGAGATGGTGTGGGGCCCTTTTATTTGCCAGGGCTTTTAATGAGGTTAAAGGTGACTGTACATTTTATGGGCAAACAGGGTCAATTGGTAATTTATTGTACATGGTTGTATATTGTATATGGAACTGTAGGTTGCCTTTGGCCACAAGGAAAAACCATCTCCTTCCGTCTGTCCCTGTGTGCCAATTACTGTCATCAGGTAGTCATCTGTTGGCTACACTACCACTTAGGATAGCCCGTCTGGCATTGACCAGAGCCCAGGCCTTTTCCATTGTGGCTCCGGCCTGTAAAATGGGCTCCCTGGAGAGGTAAGAGGGCCCCCCTCCTTAGAGTTCTCCAAGAGGCATTGCCAGGACTTTTGAAGGGATTTGAATGACAGGAATTTTTAAGGTGGGGAGGGGAAGGGATATGGCAAATACAAAATTCAAAATCAACTGCTACTAAATTCCTCCAGGACTTTATTTCCTTTCCTCTTTTTTTAAAAATTAGCTCATTTGACCAGAAGGCTTAAGCTTATCAGCTTATAGGTACAACATATCAACAATTACAGAACTGACAGCATTACATAACAATACGACAAAATTCAAGACAGTAAATTACATATTCATCACAAAGTCACTATCTTCATGAAGTGTAAGACATATAATATATAGTTAAATAACTGAAATATTCCCTGTAAGCATTATGTGTGTGTGTGTGTGTGTGTGTATACACACACACACACACAAACACACACACACATTAAAAATACATAAGAAGAAGAAGATAAAATTCCGAAACCTTAATTTAAATATGAGTCCAATAGCCCTGCGGTAGATCATATCAGGAAGCCCATCGCGTCTTTTGTGGTTGATACAAAGCACATTTCAACAACACTTCAGGGAGATTACTGTTGTTAGGTTTTGCCAAGGAGTGTGTTATTTCTGAATTTGAGTCAGCCAGCAATGGAGATATCATCCAAGATTCCAGAGGAAGTTGATACTGAAGCAAAACAGGAGTAATCCAGAGGGACCTGGGGACTGCCCACTGATGTCAAAATAATAGAAGATGATCCAATATTTCTGTTGCACCGAGCACACAATAACATAGACAGTTCAAATATTGGATTTGGGCAAAACATCCCATGAGTTCTGCAATCAGGAAGGTATTTAGCTTGGCAAGCCTGAATATGGTCTATGACTATGGGTTGTACGGAATTTCACATACGAAGGGAGGGTCATGGGAGGAGGGATCTCAAGTGTAGGGGTGGAACATATATGTCTTGCGCAGGTTACTGTACTGGCCCGGTCATGACTGGTCACACTCAACCTAATCAGCTTCAACACTTCTTGATAATTTGTGTTACTAAGCATTTTGTAGGAGAAACCAAGCAATTCAAGTCTGTTATCTATATATCTCACAGATTTTTTTTTGTGCAATGTTAGCTTCCATTGACATGCTTTCAAAATCCAGATCATTGACGAGCTGTGAATGAGATCATTTTCTAAACAGTTTCTGTACAGCTGTCTTCACCTCTTTGTTTTTCAGGCTGTATATGATGGGGTTTAACATGGGGGTTACGATGCTATACTGAATTGACACCAGCTTGTCCAGAGTGTCTGAATACCCTGAGGCAGGTCTCATGTACCTAATGAAAGCTGTCCCACAAAACAGAAGGACCACAGTGAGGTGGGAAGCACAAGTTGAGAATGCCTTTTGCCTCCCTTCTGAAGAGCTGATCTTAAGAATGGTGCCAATGATGTGAACATAGGAAGCTACAATGAGAAGGAGGGCAGCAAACCCTAATGTCATACTAAATGTAAGAATCACCATTTCGTTGGCAAAGGTACTAGTGCAAGACATCTGCAAAAGCAAAGGCAACTCACAGCTGAAATGGTTAATGTAGTTGGGACCACAGAACTGCAAGTCAATTAAAAAAAGAGTATTGACCAGAGAATCCAAGAAACCAGATACCCAGGCACCCACTACCATCTGGACACACACACGATGGCTGATGACCATGCTGTACCTCAACGGATTGCATATGGCGGCATAACGGTCATACGCCATTGCTGAGAGTAAGAAAATCTCAGTTCCAACCATGAAAATAAAAAAGAAGATCTGAGCAATGCAGCCACTGAGAGAAATGGTCTTCTTTGTCACCAGGAGGCTCTCAAGCATCTTGGGAACTGTGACAGAGGAATAGCAGATGTCAAGGAAGGATAAGTTACTGAGGAAGAAATACATTGGGGTGTGTAGTTGAGGATCAGTCCTTATCACCACCATGATAAGCATATTACCTACAAGGGTTATTAGATAAATAGATAAGAATATCAGGAAGAGGAAAACTTGGACTGTCGTGTCATCTGAAAGTCCCAATAGAATAAATTCATCTACAGAAGTCTGGTTTGCTATTATATATATATTTTCTTAGCAGACCTATGATTGGAAAAGAAATATGACAATATCACATGCTGAATTATGGGGAATGGTGCTAACCAAGCCAACTACACATTAGTTATAACCAGGGCTTTTTCTTTTTCTTTTCCGGGGGAACACACTGGGACAGAATTCCGGAACCTATTTGACAATATTCTATAAAAAATGTTTATGAGTTTTCAATATACAGATTGAAAACTTCATTTCTGTCTTGAGATTTCTGGCACCTTTTTTTAAAAAAAGGACCTGGTTATAACAGACCAAGATATGTGAATAAAAGTGCATGTACTTTCAAAGCTTATAGAGCTATTTACAATTCTTTGAACATCTTTAGTCTGAACAGCAGCATGTTGTTAAACTCGATAAATTACTCATAATAGTTTATGTCATCTTAATCAGATGTTATTTTCTGGCATTAAATAAATATAAACTGATTTATAAGCAAATTATACAAGTACATGAACTTGAGGCAGGGTGACCCTATAACCAGCACTGGCTTGGATCCAAGCTACACGTTTTATTAATGTTTAGCTCTCCCTTCTATCAGTGGAACAGAACTTTTGATCCCCCCCCGTATATGATGTTCCTAGTTTACTCAAACCCCATGTAAAACACACACACACACACACACACAGCAAAAAACCATATACAAGAAAAACCTTGTCTTGAGGATTCTCTCTTTTTGAAATTGAGTTCAACTCTAGAGCAATTGCAGAGGAGCAAGAATTTGTAAATAAATTTACAAATATATTGATCGTACACAATATTGGCTACACAAAATAACAAAAGCACTTATAATGGAGAATCTCACCCTCTTGGACTCTCTTCATACATACACATAGCGATTATGCAAAAATTCCCCTTACTTATGTGAACTAGGTCTCTTCCTCCCTCTTTGGTATCAGCATATAGATGATTTTTTCTTGTTTTTCAACAATAGGAATCTTCCTGAGAGTGAATAATCCTGCAGTAGAAGTGTAAATTCTGACTCTCACAAGCTCATGTCCACAGTTACACAAGATGTGTGCTTGCCATGCTATATTCATAGTGAGAGCATTGAGGCAATAAGGAATCTTTTTTAAAAAACATGTTTTTAAAATAAGCTTGATCAAATAAGAAAGATTATGTAATCCCTGTAAGGATCCCTGAGGGATTATGTAAATATCCCAGAGGGTTACTTAGTGGAACAAATAAAAACCCTAGTATTTGGGGAATATCTTAATGACTTTGAGATGTCATACATGGGTGATACAGGGCATAGAATTTCCCCACAGCAGCCCACTTGCCCCAACATATCTACCGTGGTGATGTGACACACTCTGTTGCTGTTTTTTTTTTTTCTTCCTCTGTCTCAGAGCACCTGAAGGAAATGATATAGCAATGTCATGCTAATTAGTACAGAATTATGATACAAGAACTGGAGTCGTCATTAAGAGTTATCATGGGAACGGTTTGAAAAGTAGCCTCCACATTCTGAATCTTCTTTTCTTAAGTTTGGTGGCCAAAAATGCCACCAGGTTGCAGCTGATCTATGATGACCCTATAGAGTTTTCAAGGCAAGAGACAAATAGAGGTGGTTTGCCATTGCCTGCCTCCTGGAGCAGCCCTGGACTTCCTTAATGGTCACCTATCCAAGCATTTGCCAGGTTTGACCCTGTTAAGCTTCTCAGATCTGAGGAGATCAGGCCGGCTTGGGTCATCCAGGTTCTTTTTTTTATTATTTTATTTATTCAATTTATGAATAAATAGGGCTCTGGGTGATATACATCAATGATATAACAATAGATACATCGTACAACAATTCAGGTAGATAACATGTAATTAAAAACCTAAACTACAAGATGGTGTACTAAGAAATCTTATTCCCATACTGAACTGCGCTGCCACCCCATGGGCAGGGCAGGGGGATGGAAACAAATGAAACAAGGAGAAAGGAGGAGGGTGCCAGCGATGGTCATACCGTCGCGGTCCTCAATGAAAAGCCCAGTGGAACATCTCTGCCTTACAGGCCTCATTGAATTGAATTGAATCCAACAGGGCCCTGATGTTGTTCAGCAGAGAGCTCCACCAGGTCAGGGCCAGGACTGAGAAGGCCCTGGCCCTAGTCTAGGATAGCCGGACAGCTTTGGGGCTAGGGAGTCACCAGCAAATTATTATCCACTGGTCAGAGTGCTCTCCTGGGGACAAAACAGAGGAGACGGTCCCAAAGGTACGTGGGTCCTTGACCACTCAAGGCCTTAAAAGTCAGTACTAGAACCTTGAACCTGATTTGGTACTCCACTGAAAGCCAGTGTAGCTGATGCAGCACAGGCTGTATATGTGTCATCCATGGCATTCCCGCCAAGATGTGCACTGCTGCATTCTGGACCAGTTGGAGCTTCTGAGTCAGTCTCAAGGGCAGGCCACTGTAGGGCTCCTTAACCTTATGGGGTACTAACACCGCATGGTGAGAACCGCCACACCCTCTTGTTTTCACTTCTGGCATATGCTGGGAAGGGCACAGGGCTTCAGAACATGGATCATCCCAATCCACATGGCTAGTTGCCATGTTTGTTAAGACACTGAGGCTTTGCCATTGAAGATTTAACAGAATCTTCCTTAGGGATACTGTTAGTTTTTTGATCCCTATCAACTTCACTCTCAAAATCCCCTTTTTTGCTCAATGAATGATTTTAGCTGGAATTATAATGTATCCTTTATCAAGACTTAGATTAGATCACAAACATGCAGAACAATAGGTTTGTTATGACCAGTTTTTCCATTGGGGAAAAAAGGAGACCACTGGAAAGGGTATTCTGAGGATTTTGGAATGCACATGGGCCGATGCAGTCTGCAGGAGGATGTGGTCTGCAGTGCAGAGGAAAATCCATTCCACAGTGAGAAGGAAAATCAGATGATATTGAAGGGGAAAGCTGACACAAAGAACATCTGTCCTACCTGGGATTATACATCTGGGGGGCCATTTTGTTCAATGAGGAATGTGCCTAATGGTGCATTATAAGTCATTGGCCTTTACATTTTGAAGGATGCGTTTCAGCCAGAGTTTCTGCAGATGAAAAGGGGGGAAGGGGTCCTCTGTCTCTACCCATAAAGGCTATGCTGGGTATCATCAGATCTGCATGACAAAAACTATGAAGGGCAAGATCTGTAATCAATTGTTCTGCCTTTTAACATTTAGAATTGTAAACTAAAGAACTATCTCTCCCAATATGTCCCCATTCACCAGCTATAGTTTTCAGGTTGCCATCTACTGGTTGTTTCTCTTAAAGTAGCCTGACTTCGATCAGCTACAGTTTGTACGTTTTTTCTATAGGCTGTTGAACCTATGGAGTGGGGTCCCTGAGGAGGCTACCATCTTTAGAAGTCTTCATGAGATGGTGTGGGGCCCTTTTATTTGCCAAGGCTTTTAATGGGGTTAAAGGTGTTTATATATTTTTGGGAGAGAAGGGTCAATTGGCAGTTTATTGTATATGGTTCCAGTTTGGAACTGTAGATTGCCTTGAATCACAAGGAAAGACCATCTCCTTCCATCTGTCCCTGTGTGTCATCTACTGTTATCAGGCAGTTATCTGTTGGCTATACCACCACTTAAGATGGCCCATCTGGCATTGACCAGAGCCCAGGTCTTTTCCATTGTGGGCTCCCCGGAAAGGTGAGATGGGCCCACTCCTTGGAGTTCTCCAGGAGACCTTTCAACGTCTGCCTCTTTGACAGGACTTTTGAAAGAGTTTGAATGTCAGGCATTTTTAAGGCAGGGAGAGGAAGTTATTTGGGGCTCACCATTTTATCTTTGGTTTTAGCTGGGGATGTTTTAACTATTGTTGTAAACTGTCTTGAACCAGGAGGAAAGGTGGATTATAAATGTTTAAACAAATAAATAAAGGAAAAGGTGGGTTATAAATAAAAGACCTTAAGTGCCTTGATGACGGTATATAATTGCAGTGAATGAATAAAACAGCTGTCATCATTTGTTAAAATATGCTAACATGTTTCAAAGAACAGGTTTTGTTAGGCTAAGCAGCCTTCCCCTGGTTGTCATTATTTGAACAAATCCACCCTGATTCCAAACTCAGCCAGTAATTATGCCAGACTTGTTCATCTTCACTTGCAAAAGAGCTGCCATTATTCATCACCATCCCCTGATGTGCAGTAAGCCTCTACCAGGTTTGGGATGCTGCTGCTCCACACCAATTTCTCTACCTACCCCAACACAAGATGCGTGATGGGCTGTTCAAGAAACAACCCTCCATCACACCCAGAGTCTCAGGCTGTTTGCCAATTCTCCCTGCCCATCATAAGCAACCCACCCCATTTCTGCCAGAGTTAGGACCTAACCAGTCCTAGTTATACCCCATCTCCAGTGATATTATGAAGCAGGCGCGGACCCCCCCATAACCAATTAGGGAAACCGAAACAATTGCTGCTTGACCCCAAAGCAACTAGCTAATCCCACAATATCTCATGGGCAGGCAGATAACATATGTATGTCCCCTTTCCACCCACATAAGTTCCCAATCTGGCGAACATCAAACATTTCAACATTAAAACAAGATTTAAAATAAAATGTTTACAAAATAAAGTAATTCAACACAAAGCATGTAAACATAAATGGCACCAAAACCAGTGAGAAGGGCCAATAACAGTTATTGGGCACATGCCAAACCAACCAAAAAGTCTTCACTCACTGGCAGAAGACAACAATAGTGGAAGACAGACCCATCTCCCTGGCGAAAGAGTTCCAAAGTTTTGGTGCCACTACCAAGAGTGCCCTTCCTCAGGCTGTCACCTGTCTTGCTTCTGATGGTATAAAAGGTAAAGGTAAAGGTTCCCTTGCTCGAAAGCCAGTCGAATCCGACTCTAGGGTTGCGGTGCTCATCTCCGTTTCAAGGCCGAAGAGCCAGCGCTGTCCGAAGATGTTTCCGTGGTCATGTGGCCAGCATGACTAAACACCAAGGAGCCCGGAACGCTGTTACCTTCCCACGAGGTGGTACCTATTTATCTACTTGCAGTTTCTTGCTTTCGAACTGCTAGGCTGGCAGGAGCTGGAACTACAGACGGGAGCTCACTCCGTCATGCGGCACCCTGGGTCTCGAACTGCTGAACTACCGACCTTCCACAGCCTGCAGTTCAACATCTTAACCACTTGAGCCACCGCAGCTCCTCTCTGATGGTATAGGGGCCTCCAAAGCAGGGTCTCCAATGGTGACTAAGTGTGGATGGGTAGATTCATATGAGAGAAGGCAGTCCTTAAAGTATGCTGGCCCCAAGCCATATAGGGAACCATGAATTGGGCCCAGAAGTAAATTGGGAGCCACTGTAGATGGGGAAAGGAACAACATTTTTTTTTTTACAGGAGAGCCATGTAAAACATTTCATTCCAGATGATGCAAATTGAAGATGGGATCAATCCAAAAGTGTTTGTTTTTCCTTTGCAACCTCCCAGGTAGATTTCTAAAATCTCCCATATTTCTGAAGTCAGATAATAGCATGCAGCCACAGTTGAATGCAATATATTGATTTTATGTCTAATCATTGGTGCACGCTAGCTGCAGCCTGAAATAATTATTATGTCTGGCATCGATGCAGCAGGAACTAATATTTCAGTCCTAAACATAGTTACATCCGGACCTGGATAGCCCAGGCTAGCCCGATCTCATCAGATTTCAGAAACTAAGCAGGGTGAGCCCTGGATAGTATTTGGTTGTGAGACCTCAAAGGAATACCCTTGTCATCATGCAGAGGCAGGCAATGGCAAACCACCTCTGCATGTTGTTTGCCTTGAAAACTCTATGGAGTTTCCATAAGTCAGCTGTGACTTGATGGCCCTTTCTACCACCCTC